CAGTCAAACTCACATATTATAAAAATCAGCTCTTATCGAAATATTTCTATTTCAATATGAGTTGGATGCTGGTAACATATCATGGAAAAATAAAGTTTTGTTTTGTGCTATTATTTTGTTTAAAGAAAAAATTTTCATCGAGCTTTGTACATGAAAATAAAACACCTTAACCACTACTTTTTGAATTTTCACAAGTATTTATGAAATAACGCAAGTCGAAGATCGACTAGATTGTATTGCTGGTGTAGGTCGTTGATTTCGAGAGTTAAATCGCTGAGCAAGTCGTTGAACTGGATCGAAGTAGTTATTACGCATCCATGACATTTTGTACGTCATTATTTGGTTGACATGTCGTGTTCGACCAGCCACAGCAATTGATTCAACAACTAACAATTGATCACGAACTTGACTGATTTCAAAGAACTTATTTGTTGAAGTACCACACAATTCATCCGATTGGAAAAAGACCTTGTTATCGAAGACATCTGGGCTGAATGTTAGACACAGTACAAGCAAGCTACGAACTTCTTCATTGGATAATGATGACCAATTGTCACAGTTACGATAACGGCGAATATCATTATCGTTGTATTCTATCACTGAACACACACAATTGAGATAATACATAAGACGAGCTACATCATTATTAGGGACGTTAACTGGTACTGATGTCTGACGGAAACCGATTTGATTTCTTTGCACAAAGGCCATGCTGCTCACTTGTATTTTACTTCAAATATTATATCTACATGTGGTGATGTCGATTCTTTTATACAGGAATGAAATCTCTCTCTTCCTCGGAAGTACTTTCTCGTGATACAATGATACTGCACTCGTGGTTCCCATTCTTCTTGAGAATTATTTAGCTTACAGGGTTTTTATCGATTAACATTTATTGCTTTTTGTTAAATACTGCTGCGAAAATCATGATAAGATAAGCAAACTTTCTTCATCACGTTGATTCAATTCAAAAATACTACGCAGGAGAGATGTAAAAACAATGTTAATGTCTTCATCACAAAAATAGAATATATGTTTAAATGGATAAAATAAATATATTATTGAACAGGAAAAATAAAACACAGCCTCTTATGAAAAGGAGTAACATTTTTATTTTTACAGAACATAATTGACAAACAATTATTTATTGTTGTTGTATTCTTTGCCTTCATATTCTTCGTATTTTTCTCAAGTGACACGTATGCAATACGGTGATGGACGACAACAATATTTTCCTGGTTATGTTGAGAAGCAACAAGCATTATCAATTGAAGCAAAAAAAAATAGAGAATTGCCTCAGCTGTCAGAAAGAATTCAATAGGAAAAGACCAAAGTGATAAATGGTAGCAAAGAAAAGAATTTTTCTAATTGATATTGTTGAAAGCTTCGTTAGAAAATTACAACGATAATTCGATCGATTTCAATCGCAATAGTAGAAAATTCAATCTCAAACAGCATTGCCTAACCGAAACTTTCAAAACCAGAAAATTTTATCTAAATATCGTAAAACAGTCCGAAAGTAGTTTTCAATGTTTAAATACGTAATTTGTTTATCCACAAACACAAATGCCTTCGTCCTAATTCTTTTTATTTTTTCAAATGCTATCTTAAAAGATATGTTCTCATTAAAAAATATTTAAAAACCAATGCGATAGGCACAATTCACTCATTATGAGTAAAAATACATCACTGGTTCAGTCGCGAACGCATTCTCTTTTTAAAAAAATTTAGGGTTGGATGTTGTTGTGGCGTGGGGTATGGGTGTAAGTGTAGGTGTAGGTGTAATGTGTGTAAAGACAAGTTCTTAATGTTCACACCCATTCTCAGCCATTGCACTCCACCCCCATGCCCACATTGCATTATTTCACTTTCACCGACTTCCATCTTCATCGAACTCCATTTTCGCCGATACCAATATGGGTGTGGGTGGCTATGGGGTGTTGAGTGTGGATATGTGGGTATGAATGAAGACAAGATCAACACCCACACCCACATCCACACCCCACATCCTGGTTACCAACTCAGTTGGTAATTAATGAGTTTGTTAATAAACCTATTAAATTGGAAAAAGTCTTAAATGTAGAATGATTTACTTTTGACATGGTAATTTTCGGTCAAAAAAAGTAGTCGGCGATATTGGAATCGGCGAAAATGGAGTTCGGTGAAGATGAAAGTTACCCCCACATCCTCATAATCGTCAGAATAACTATCATAACGAATGTTGCCCATTGATAACCATAATTGTAAATCATTTTTTTGGGTTTGCGGTGGGGTTTGTGCAAGGGGGAAAAATCAGATTTTAAAAGATTTTGAGAGATTTCAAAATATTTGAATCTACTCTAGTTAGAGGAAATCTGCGTGTTCTAACAAAAGGAGATTTGTCGGACTAGGAAATATGCGTCTGAAAAGTCTGAACCCAATTTTATTTTTCTCAGAATCAGCATTCAGCTTTGTGTTCCCTCAGGGATCGAAAAAGAAATTTGTGTCTTCGTTTTTGTAGAGGCACTGCTAGTTCGATTAAACTTAGTATATTGATTTCGATTATCAGACTTATTTTTAATATTCGTCGAAAAATAAGAAACATCTGAAGCACTTTCTGGAATCTCTAAAAACCAGTTTTTGACCTGAAAGTCCATCAAAGTTTCATTGGAATTCAAGAAACATCGGCTCATTCGCGTAGAAGTTTTTTCTCTACCAGAATCTACAAGAAGGTCCTAAGTATTCAAACCTTTTTCAACCAATAATTAGCAAATACCACCTCGATTGGGTCATATTGTTGCAAATAATGATTGTTTCGGCTTTTTAAAGTTACATTTTATACGAGTGCATCAGAAGATTTTTTTTACCAGATACGTAATTCAACTTTCTCTTTCTGACGACACCATTTTCAACTTAAATTCAATGTCTAGTAAAGTGCTTATGCTACACCTACTATACTTGAGAGTCATTTTGGGCTAGTATTCGATGGTTTTCGAGTAGAGCGAACTAGATTTGATTTTAAAAATACCATATTTGAAATCAGCACAAAAAACTCAGTCCAATTATGTGTGTTTCAAGTTGTTTCTGCGCCATTTTTTCTGCCGAATTTTCACCCATGGTCTCCTGCAGAGATATAAGGAAAAATGAATTCTATCAGAAAAACGTTTGATCAGTGGAAAAGTAGTTCTGGACTTATAAAATGTTATTTGAAAAATAAATTATAGGTGTATAGATATTTAAATGGTGGTTTTAATGAAATTCATTTCCTTTATATTTCTAAGGAGGACCACGGGTCAAAATTTAACTGAAAAAAAAATTCGCAGAAAGAATTTGAAGCATACATGTGTTGATTGACTTTTTGGCACTGATTCCAAATATAGCATCTTTTAATGCCAAAAGGGGTCACTTCTATCCAAAAACCATCGAAAATTAGTCAAAAAAAGATAGACCATCGGCTATAAAGTACCCTGATTAGGGCAAAAGTGGTTTGCTAGACATCGGATTTCAAGATCAAAATGGAATGAACAGAAGGAGTAGATTGAATTACATATTCGGTAAAAAAAAATCAAGCTGGCACGCCCGTAAAACCTATAACTTCATAACGCTCAAAAAACCATTCCCAACCATTGCAAGATCCGATCTGGGCGATATTTGGCACTTTTCGATGGAAAAATATTGAACGTCTAAGAGATTTTCATAGATTCTGATAGAGAAGTAAAACTTTGCAGGAAATGAACCTATTTTTCACGAACCTAGTTTGTGTTTTAATGAACTTTCGGGTCAAAAACTGTTTTTCATGCTTTCAGAGAGTACTTTTGAAAAAAGTGTGGTATTTGTAATCAATATGCTTACCTCTATCAAACTATAAAAACTTGTAATAGAACGATGATAAAAAATTTTCTCAATACTTGAAGACGACTACTGGTGAGAAAAAACTGAGTTGTGACAAAAGCAAGAAACCCTATGAATAATACTGAGGACTCAATGCTGATTCTCAGACTAGCAAAATTAGATGCAGATTTTTTGGGACGCTAGATTTGTAATGTGTCTTACCTTCTTTCTCCGCCTGGGCTCATTCTATATCACTATTTAATGCTTTTTTGTTTGAAAGAGAATTTCTTAGTGCAGTGTAGTATAAGATCTTTCGTTAAATTCTTACTCTTTAAGTAGAGAAAGAGAATCATAAGTTCAATGACACAGAAAACCCTTAGTAATGGGTGTCTACTTATATAGTGTCTATCAATGTAACCCAGAATATCTTAATGAACAAACAGGACTGTATTACACTGCAGCGTATCATGTTCTTTAAAACAAAAGGAAATTAAATGTAGAGAATGAGAATGAACAGAGAAATTTAGATTGAACAGCCAAAAAATCATACTGAGAAAAAACGAAAGAGTTTTTGGTTTTTCTGAAAACAGCTTATTTTTTTGATGGGGGGATGACAAAAACTTTCAAAATTATCGAAAAAAAAACGAGGTGTCGAGTAAAAATTTCGGTCGTTGATTAAAGAAAATATTACGGGTTATCTTTCCATATATTAATCTCAATTTTGATTAGTCGGGCGAAAAATGACTTTTCTGCGTGGACGACGGGAATGGCGGCGAAAGCTTAAACAATGAGAAAATACTATGCAAAAAACAGTCAATTATTCTGTTCAACCCTTTATGTTGAAATAACTGGACAAATGACCAAAATTATTAATATTTATAAAATAAAGATATTAAAAAACTGTACTCTAAACTTTGATTTTTTC